ACGTACGGTTGCCGAGTTGGTAAAATTTATCGGTTACACGCTTGGGGTACGAGGTTCCAACCCGCGTATGTCAATGAATTTTTTGCATTTTTTCTTAATTCTTTTTAAGTTAGTATAAATTTTTAAATCGTTTGATATTTATCTCATTTAGATTCAATAACTTCAATAAAGATCAAGGATTCCATCACTTTAGTCGCCCCTTGTAAGAAGAAATTTCTTATTCGTATTAAAATTATTTTACTATATTTTAAGTTTTAGCTTCGATGCAAAGCCGAGAAGATGTTTTTTTGTGAATATCATTTATTTTCTCTGCTCTAACTTGACCTTTTTTCAACGATACGTCCAATGACTACAATTCGTATCTAGTTGAAGATATTACTCTCAAAAATTGAAAAAAAAATTCTAATTTATCAATTAAACAGTTAGTTATTACATCGTCTCCATAAAGACAATTAAAATCATTAATTTCTAATGTTTTCAAAATATTTATTAACAAATGAAGTTTGAAATGATAGGTTTCAACTACAAAATTAAATCATTTTACTTTGTAATTTAATAATTTTTTTAACTCTATTTTGTGTGCTACTATTAGACTATAATATTCAAATTTTTTTCTAACGTGTTGCTATATAAATCATTTCTAAAAAAAATTATTGTTTTTTCTCCTGAATTAACAATTTTATTTTTACAAATATAACCAAATTTTATAATACGCTCAATTGAGTAAATCTTTTTAACAACTATGTTTTGATTGGTTCATTTAGTTAAAGTAAATCATTATAATTATTTAAGTTCTCAATATTTCAATTGTAGAATCTTTTCAAACGAAAAAATTTACTAGGAAATTATTACTATTACTTCTATTTAAGTAATCTATTACCATAAAAATGCAAAAAATTATTGAGCTTTTCTGATAAATTTATAATAAGTAGTAATTATAAAACTTTCTAACTGCATATTGATCTTAACGATAAAATTTTTTTAATTGTCATAAAATTTTCTATTTAATTATGTCAATGTCAAACTTACCAATTGAGCTAAAAGTTATGGTAAAATAAATTATTTTTTTTATTATAAACATTTACAACAATCAACTTTAAACGATTAAAAAAATAGGTTAAATATGTCATTTTCCTTATTTTTAACTTATTAATAATCAAATTAATATTAAATATTATATCAAATCAGTATTAATTTAAAACAATTTTTTTTGTTCTTAATTATTTTTTAGCTTTGATGCGAAGCTGAGCATTTTTTATATGTAAATACTATTTTTTAATAATATTAAAACTTAAAAGTGATAGAAATAGTCTAATTGCACATTTGAAAACATCGCGAAATGTTGATTTAGAATATTATATTTTTGTTTCTGATGAAAGTTCCTTGTAGTACAGTGTATAAAACTTATAACTTTGTTAACTGTTAAACTTTATAAAAAATGACCAAATCAGTAAAATTTTTTTTTTATATAGATGCATGTCTTTATCTATCATTTGGTTTTTTTTTTTAAATCTAACTCTTTACCTGCCCACAAGAGGGATTCAAAATATTAACTTTTTTTTTTTTAGTTAAAGTAAATCATTAAAATTAATTCAGTTCTGGATATTTCAATAGTAGAATCTTTTTAAATATCAAAAATTACTTAGAAATGATTACTATGATTTCTATTTAAGTGTTCTATTACGATAAAAATGCAAAAAATAATGAGTTTTTCTGATAAATATACTGTAAATAGTAATTATAAAATTTCCTGACCGCATATTAATCTTAAAAATAACATTGTTTTAATTCTCATAAAATTTTCTATTTAATGATTTATTCTAGTCAACGAAGGAGTAATTTTGGCGAATAACAGAAAAAATTCCCAACCAAATTTTTTTTTTTTTAAGTAGGAAATTGGTGGATTATTCCAAAAGCAACATCAACTCTTATTTCTTTAATTATATCCTGATTAGTAGTTCTTTGATTTTAAAATATAATATATGAATATATACTAATTATAATTATTAAATTTAGTATGAAATTGATATTTAATATTGTAATTTAAACGGAGAAATTATAAAAATAATAAAGAAGTTATATTTTGCTTTACTTTTACGTGTATAAAAATTTAAAGGGCTTGATACAATAATTTTCAATAAAAACTGTTTGTTACTATAAAAAAATGCACTGGACTACAAGGAACTTTCATCAGAAGCAAAAATATACTTTTCTAAATCAAATTTTCGCGTTGTTTTCAAATCTGCAAGTAGACTATTTCTATCACTTCTAATTTTTTA